CTACTTCACGAAAAAAATCACAATAATTTAATTATTGTTTCTTCCAAATCTTTTTGCTTAGGTATCATGTGAATGACCTAGAAATGCAATCTACTTTGCTATCATACAGTCTATAATGTATTTTGAACCACCACAAGAGGGAGCCTGCATTTTCTCAGTAGTATCTGGACATTAAAGTTTATAACAAACCCTTTTGACTGTCTGACCTGTCTGAAAAGGTCACATTTTAAACAGTTTTCTTTTGAAATCGTCACATTTTTATTTTCTTTCTCAAATGCCCTTAAATGTAAAATGAGACAGCTTTAACTCGATACTAAAGACACTGGACAATGTGTTATAGGAGCAATAGCAGGCATTGTGGACCAGCCCATGCAAAACTTCCAGAAGAACTGGGAGTTGCAGACTTCAGCTGGGAGTACAGCCAAAGATGTCATCTCCGGAGTTGGGAAAGGCATTGTGGGTGTTTTCACCAAACCAATAGGGGGAGCAGCTGAGTTAGTGTCCCAGACTGGATATGGTGAGTCTAATGAAAAAACATTGTATTTTTACACAGTATAGTTTTAAATTGTTTTTTATAGTCATTTTTGGGCAAGTTTAAACTTTCCTTTCCACACATGATGTTTCTGATGACATTTATACACAATTTAATTTTATCTCTCTGTTCTTTATCTCAAAGAGCAAACAAATTATGAGCTGAATTATAACGCAAGAAAAACTAATAGTTTGTTAGTGAGTCTTTCTCAGGTCTGAAGAGCAGCGGCTCACCTCTCTGTTCTCATCATATCTGTCATTGTGGATTAGCTCACATGGAGAGATGATAGCAACAGACTAATGACCACCTGTGTCATGAAAATCAGGATCAGAAATTACCTCTGACAGAAGCCACATGTCTCTTAGACCTGATGAACACACACACACAATGTAATCATACATTCAGTCAAATGTTCAAACCTGTGCACATGTATTCTTTTTTAGTTTAGTTTAATTTGGACCATAAAAAAAAGACATACCTAAGTATTTTAAAGCAAATGAGTGTATCGTCATTAATCTTTTAAGAAACTTTAGTTTTTTTAAGAGTTTTTCAGGAACTTAGTATAATGTTTTGCTTTCATCAAAGGTTGACGTATCAAAAAAGTACATTTCTTATGAATTCTGACCATAAAAATGGCCATTGCTATGTATTTTTAGGCAAATTAGTGCATTTTGAAGACTTTTTCAGGAAATTATTATAGTATTTTATTGTGATCAAAAGTTGGCATACCAAAAAAGTATATTTTTTCTGAATTTTAACCACAATGATGGACATAGCTAAGTATTTTAAAGTAAATTGCATTTTTTGTAGTTATTTTTCAGACATTTTTATTTTTGAAGATTTTTTAGTATTAGTATGAACTGTTGTCATCAAAAGGCGACTTACCAAAAAAGAATATTTTTCATGAATTTTAATTTTATGTCATAGGTCACTTACTCACTCACTCACATACACAGCTCCCCACAGTCACACTGACCGTCACTGTTCTGACATCAATCATGGGTCTCACTGTGTTCTGTGTTGTTACTATGCAATCACTTCTCTGGCTTAGTGTAGAGGAAAATCCAGCAGGCTCAATTATTACTTTAGTCAGCCGTGTCATCAGGCTGTTTTTACAGTGACATTATTTTGTATTAACAGAGCTGTTATTCATCCCCTATTGTAGTGAGATCTGAGTTAAAATGGCACCACTTTGTCTGCTTGATTTATGACCTCACTAAAATTACCAATGTGATTCACAGTATAGTGAAATACAGAAAATAGAACCTGTTGCCAATGTGTTCTTCCTCACATTTTTAGACTGTAGTAGGTCTGGCAGACAAGAACTGACAGTAATCATGTCTGTTGCTTTAATGTGAGAGAAAAAAACTTATCCAAGCATTTTTAACCACCAGCACACAGGCTGCATGTTGCCTGTCAGTAAATGTACTGTGACCTGTGTGTGGATAGCTAACAGAGGAACGCTCCACAGAGTGATGACAGTGACGCTGTCACTGTCCTAAGACAGGGGTCTGCAAACCTGCAATCACTGGAGTGAATGGTTTCACACATTAATATTAATTGTCATCATACATACATTAAGACACCTGGGCTGATAACCACTCCACTATATTTTGTTTGAATTAATGCTTGTTCGTTTACTTGCAAGAGTTTTACTCTGGTACTTTTTCACAGTAACTCTGTACTGTCGGATGCTGTTGTAACTCTCCAGATGCTGATTTGTTTGGAGACCTTGGAATTATTTTGGTCTGGTGAATGATTTGGAAATAAACAAATCTTGTCACCGGCAGATTTCCTCTGAGTCCTTGGACTACGCTGGAACTTTTTTGAGTGTGAAGTAAAGGCATGCAATCAGCTGTAGGTCGACTGTGGAAGTGAACAGGGGAAGAATAGAGGATCACATTTTAATTTTAAATTTAATTTTTTCTCTATCATTCCTGAACAAATCTCAGTGATCTGCAGGAGTTTGTTTAGAGTCTGTTATTTATCAGTCACTCTTTTTTGTTGTCTCCTTGTCTCAGGAATCCTTCATGGAGCAGGACTGTGGCAGCTTCCTAAACAACTGTACCTGCCCGTGGAGGAGAAAGCAGCTCAGGCTCCAAACAGCCACCTGAAATATGTCTGGTGAGATTTCAGAACATTCTCTTTACTTCTTAATTCTTCAGGAATAGAGCATCTGTTTTGTCTTTGCTTTGGTTGGACTCTTACCACAATTTGCTGTTCCACCTCTCATCATCGCTGCTGTCTTGTTTAAAATAACCTTGACGAGTTTATTACCCATTCTCCAAGTACAAAAACCTGGAGAGATGTTTGACCTTGATCCCACACATGGTAGCCAGGCTGCCCTGCCTCCTTCTCATCCAACCATGTTAAAAGGTTTTTATAAGCACTTGGCCAAAACCGCTGGAGAGGAATTATTCTTGTTATTCAGCCATGAGTTTGTCCAGAGATGTGATCTGTGCCATTGGACGGAGCAGATGGAGGAGAAACACCTTCATCTGCATGTTGTAATGGTTTGAAGAAAATCTGTTTACAAAGGTCACATGTTTGCCAAGCACAAGGTTAACTTCTGGATCCCACATCTTCTGCACTGCATCTGCTCTCACAGTGCTGCTTGATGCTATCATGAGGACCATAAGTTGGTTCCTGAAGGTTAGCAGCAGCTTCAGATGAGGACTTTGTGGCATTTTGTGAATTTTTGTCATCCTCCATTTTGATTTTTAAAAGAAACATTTTCCTTTAGTAGCAGTCAGTGTTGCCTTTCAGCTGTCGTTGATAAAAAATGCCATCATATGTAGACATGATTTCTCTCAGACATTCCTTTAATAGTCATTACCTCTGGGCTCAGCGGTGTGCAATTGTACTAACGTTGAAGGAAGAGGAAAAAACACATGCCTGGTGAGATCATGCTCCCCCATGACTTCGGTCACGCTGCACTGCAGTTGCACTGCTTTCCATCAGGCATCCATCAGTTATTTTTACTACTGCAGGTAGCCCACACACTTGAAGGGTCAGGCTGTGTGAGCACAGTGACACTGAACAGAACCAAAGTGTCCCTGCTGCCGCCACTGCTGCAACATCTGCTCTGCCCTTGCACCTGCCGTCCAAAGTAAACATACTGTCAAACTAACGCCAGCAAACACACATGTTCGTTTGTGTATGTGATGGGAACCATGAAGAGAACATGCAAAAATGTAAATTACAGGATGTATGTTCACATGTGGGAACTATGTATGTATGTGCTGAGGTCACAGAAGGCACCTTCTGCGGCCGTGATGTTTATATGGAAATGTGTATCTAACGGTGCAGGAGGAAACACTGACTGCATGATACACACTGTACAGAGTAAATGTGACTTTGTACTACCATGTACAACAGCCTGAGTACTTCATTTGTCTAATTTTAAATAGTCCACGATTTGTGAAAGAAAGTTTCAATTGTGTCATAACCAGAGGTGTGGACTCAAGTGACAAATTTGATGATTTTGGACAAAGAGTAAAGACGTGTAACTCGACAAATATTCAGATAAAATATATTTTGGAATTTTTAACACAAATTATTCACCTGGCAGCATGTTTTACGGCATAATTTTGCACTTAAAGTCATTTCAGAGACTTTTTATTTTTATGGATATTTTCACAATGGTAAGGCTATAGTAAGGCATGTTTTGGGTGAATTTTGAAATATTCATATAAAATACTTTTTGGACTTTTAAACACAAAATAATCACTTGGCAGCATGTTTTAGGACACAATCTTGCATTTTAAAGCATTTCGGGGACTTTTTATTTTTATGGATATTTTCAGGATGGTAAGGCTATAGTAAGGCATGTTTTGGGTGATTTTTGAAATATT